GTACATGTTTCAGTGATATTTAGGACAGTATACTGTGAGGCTGTTTGTTCATTACTTCCTGACTGCTACTTTCTCTAAATTTATGTTCCTTTACAAACAAGTAGGCTGTCAAGTAGCATTATTTATCTGTCCATAAGCATCAAAAGGGCCTGGTTGTGTGTTGTAAATTGTAAAGCATGTGCAGAAACTTGTGTTTAATGTCCTAAACAATACATTCAAGAATATACATTTTTAAACATCATTGATTTCCATTTGCCAACAAGGAACCATGAGAGAGAGAGAGAGAGAGAGAGAGAGAGTATGTATGTATGTATGTGTGTGTGTGTATATATATATGTGTGTGTGTGTGTGTGTGTGTGTATATAGATAGATAGATAGATAGATAGAGATACTATCTACCAATCCATAGTACAAGACCTAAGCACCGGGCTATACACTGAAGGCTATTCACAGAGGTCTCCTTGACAGAGCGATTGATCTGTCTGTCTCTCCACACACATAGTGCCAAGCATCTAACATGCAAATATAGAAGTAAATGTGTAAGGGCATTTGTCTTTACTGAAACGATTAAAGAATAAGGTAAGCTGGAACTGCAGTGGCTTGATGTAAGTGTTAGGATGTTAGGTCTCTACAGCATCAATTAAGATTGATTGGCCCACTTTTATTCTTTTAGAAGTTCAAATCTTAGGTTTAATGAGTGAGCACTTCTATCGTTTGTTGCAATTATTTCCTCTTGCTTCTGGAATTTATTTATTCATTTATTTATTTATTTGAGTTTGTATTCTGCTTGCTCGTATCAAATTCTGTGGGTGAACTGTAGCATTCAGGACAGCAATTGTTTCGGCGTTTGTTAATATAATATCGTATCAATCAACACAGAGAAATCGCAAAATCTTGTGTCATATATTCTCTTAATTAGATGATATACAGTTTCACACATTGTTTTAGACACGTCTATGTATCGTGGAAAAGATTTCTGATTTTAAATGACACGTAAAACATATTCGAAATAGACTGCACTTTAAGTAATTCCGATAACTAATAATAGAAATGATTTACTATAGAAATGCAACAGCTGTGTTTTCCATTTACCCAAAGTTACAGCATCTAAAAATGTCTGAGAGTGATGTGAACTCCAGTTCAACCGGTTATTTGTGGGTAAATATTCTGGAGATGTACATGGCCCTTTTAACATGGAAATGGTTAAATAAGAGCGTGCAAATCTGTACAATGCTATTATTCTCCAGAACAAAGGTCTAACAGTAATCAAGTCTTTCTTTTAGAAATGCTCCCCCCATCTAGAGGTCTTTTAGTTTGACAAATGGCAACTCCATGTTTGTATAAGTGTGATGTTTGTCTCTAGAGTGAAATATCGATGAAAAGGTTAGTGAAAGCAGAGTTTGTGTATGTGACCATCTAAGGAACTTAATGACTATTTTTAACAAAACAATTCCACAGGAAGTTCTCAAGAAGAGGACGTTAGATTTAATTGAGCAGTTCCTTCTGGTGATCTGGCAATCTATTATCTGAGAAAAGAAATACAGCTAAAATATTCAGCCTCATTTTCACTGATTTTTTTTTTTCAGTTTGCCTAATAAAATCACAGCTAGTTATGGCTAAATAACTAGGTATGCCATATGTGCCATAACCGCTGAGCCTATGAACTGTGCAAAATCCTAATTAAATTACTTTGATACGATCACTTAGAGGGATTGGTAGGGTGTCTCATTTGTTTTAAAAACTGCAGACTTTGAAAGCCAAGGCTTATTAGTATTCATAAGGGACAGTCAAGTGAACATTCATTATGGTTTACGCTGACTTTTTCTATATATAGACCTCACGATCAGCCTTCTTCCCACCCCTTCTGTTCCTTTCCTTCCCCTTAAGCATAGTACTGTAGTTAAGCTCCTAGTAATGATTGAAAGTTCCCAAAGGCTTTTTGGATCGTCCATGAAATAAAGTGCTTCATTTGAATATCTTCATGTCAGGATTGTCCTATTTATTTATTTTTCTTCTTCTGATTTTTTTTTACTGTTGTTCAGTATAGGCAGCTATTAAGAAGCTCTGATTCAAAAGGGTACCAGCACCTCTTCTGGAGAATTCCTTTGATAACTGATCTCTTCACAGCGTTGCGGATACATTGATTTCTTGAATAAGCATAATACGACATGCTGTATGGTAGCACGGCATTAATATTACCACAATCACATTTATTTTGCATAGCCCACTGAAACAAAAGACATGGTGGCAGAGGAACACAGTGCAAGACTGCAGCCAAACAAAGAACCCACTGGAAACATTACATCTAAACAGCTTCCATGAAATATCTACTGCATCAAAAACCACTCCCCCTAATACAACCAACTGTATAACCGCTGAACCTTAATAATCCGTGACTCATGCTTCTTAAAACTATAAAAAGGAGAGTTAATGAGTAGAAATTGACTCGCGACACGGCTGATTTATAATAAAGATAAGTTAAGGATTCAAGCTCAATGCTAATTACTCAGAGGAGATTTCACCTGGAATTCCCTACAACTAGTTTAATTTCTTATGAACTGTATGCAAGTAGAGCACGTAGCAACAGCATATGTAAACGTATGTGTATGTGTGTCTTTGATTGAACCTAGAAGTGAGTTCACATTGTGCATTCACATACATCATTGGTTGACTGTATATACATGTGTATATGAATGTATGTGTGTGATTAGGCATGCATGGGTATTTGTGTATGTGTGTGTATAAATGTTTGCATGTGTTTTTGTGTGTATTATATATGTATTTAGAATGAATTAAATCAATTAAGAGAGTGTCAGCTTGCACACAGTGGTAACATGTCTGTGGTTGCCTGTATGTTTGTGACATGATTGAACTCCATTCTCACTGTAGGTTATTGTCCATCTCAAAACTTAGATTCCCTAAAAAAGAAAAAAAAAATCCATCTCCTATTTTAAGTAAGCGTGTCAGTAAATCACCGGTGTAATGCTGAAGTTGGTTCCCAGTAAAGATGTGTTGCCACATCTCTCGGGAACGCGCACTGCAGGCTGTGTGAGGCTCTGTGAGGAGGGAGGGGGAGGTGGGGGAGCGTGCCTGCTGAAAGTCCTGAAAGGAAACTACAACATCCCTGCTTTTGTCCCCACAAGCAAAATCCTTAATCCTTTAAATCACTAACAAGCAACCCTAGATTTTTTGTAACACCTATAATTATCAGTCTAATACATTTTAGTATTCTTTTATCACCACCTGGAAATAAAACATGTCCTCTTTTTATATATCCTTAATATGCTCTGTGTATTCATGAACCCTTTCAGTCCCACAGATATCACCATGGGACTGAAAGGGTTAATATATGACCACTTCGCAATAAAGAATTATAGAAACAACTTCACTGATGTTGCTTTATTAACCCTTATCTATCTCTATCTCACAGGAATCTCCACCTTTTACCAACCTCATGCGACTGAAAGGGTAAATGACCACTTCAACACTCTATGACTACTTAAAAAAGACACGATAGAGTTGAAACGTCGATTTTTTTTGCTGATGTAATTAAATTACATAAAATCAAATTTTTCACTTTTAAGAACTGTGAGTGCATCCTTGATTATTACTTTATATTATAGATAAACCCACAGGGTTCCATATGTGTGCGTGTGTCTTCAGTAACCTATTAACCCTTTATTGACAAAAACATTTTCTATTTTTGTTGGTTATAAGTGGGATCACATGTATAGCATGCATGTGTAGGCAAGTGGTCTAAACAGCTCACAAATTGCTTTGGGCAGATGTGTTACCTGTATTTTTGTATCATTTACAAGTAGGTTAGGCCACCCAGCTATACATGCACTTTGTGTGCTGTCACTTGAAATAACAGGCAGATTAATACTCATTGCATATGTATCCTCAAAGATTATAAGATTGTTTGAGCAGGGCCTTGTTCCCCTCTAAATATCCCCTTTCTATAATTGTACAGCACTGCTGAATATATATCACAAATAATTATAATGTAAATTGTATAATATGTATGTAAAAAAAAGTTAATAAATACATAACTATATATGATATATACTGTATATAGTATAAAGTATGTGCATTTTAACACTTTCTCAGGGATATCATGTGAAGATAATATGCATTAACCGTTTCAATCTAATTCCTGTGGGACTAAATTATTAATAAACACACACATTGTTGAAAATGTGGATAAATCAACTCTTTCAGTCCCAGAAATGTCATGTAAAGCGGTCATCAAGGCTTCCAATGTCATAATGCTAATAAAATGTGACAATTCATGCGTCATTGAAAGGGTTAATACAGACATGCAACAGTAAACCATGTATATATTAACTATTTCAGTCGTAGATATATTATGTGAAGCGGCCAATCATTAACCCTGTCAGTTCCATGGTAATAGTCAAATGTGATGATTCTTGAGGATTTGAAAAGGTTACTAAAGACACACATCAGTGAAATTGTGTTTGTTTTAACCCTTTCAGTTCTAAAGTTGTTATGTAAAGTCTTCATGTATTAACCATTTCAATTCCACTGAGATGGTAAAATTTGGAGATTCCTGTGGGACTGAAAAGGTTAAAAAAGACACATAAGCAAAACATATATATTAACCCTCTCAGTCTGAAAGATGTCACGAGGAGTAGTTAAATTGCAACCCTTTCAATCCCACAACTATGGAAAAAGCTGCTGCTTTCAGTGGGACTGAAAGGGTTAATGAATACATATAATGTAATAAGAATATATAAGAGGGATTTTGCAGATGGAGATAACAAGATAATAGAGCAGACTGTTAATTGTATGTGCTTAGCTGCTTTCTATTGATTGTAGGGGATATTAAAGGGACTGCCTACTTTTTTTGCAGGAGAATGGGTTAAGGATTTTATATGGAGTGGAGATAATCAGAGATGATTTTTTGACCTTTCTGGACTTTCGGCAGCCACACTCAGCCTCCCTACCCCCTCTCTGCTCACACAACCTCACACGGGAACCAACTTTAGCACGACACCGGTCTTTAATACCAACATTTTTAACGCTTGCCCTGTGTGTTGATTGATTTTTTTCCAGCATTCCCTCAGCAAATGGATTTTTGCCACTGCAGCTCAGCAGAGGGTGTCAGATCTTTCAGAGTGCACCAAGCTGGAACGAGCAGAGCCTCTTAGCAACTCACTTGTTCTCTTAGACACACACACATACATATATCTATATATACATGCACCGTGTGTACTGTAATCAAGCGACAGAATACTGAGAGAAGCAAAATACGGAGAGCACAAGCCAAGAGAAGGAAACAAGAGGTGAAGAAATGGACAGCAAAAAAACGCAGCGATTGCGGAAATTTTGCAGCGCCATTGGCTTGACGAAGAGTGTTTAGGCTGGGGCGTGATTTCAGCACCACGAAGCTGTGAACAGCTCACGCAGGGAACCGAGCTATATGTTCTGGGAAAGGTACAGTGACTGCTGGTGTCAGGCAAGGAGAAAGCCTCTGCTTTAAATACGCAAAAGGGGGAGGAAAAGACAAGGTCGGTGTCTCAGGCAAACCGTGCCTCGCTATTTCAGCCATTCCTCTGTCTGTCTCTGTCTCTCTCCTTTTCTGTAGCATGGCATTGCTTAACATTGGCAGTATGCTTGTTACCACCACAATTTGTAAAACCTGACAAATACCCATTCAGCAATCACTGATTATTTCGGATGTTTTCTGCTGCATACGTGATTCATCCTACGTGACTCCATCATTTGTGGATATATTATTGACTACCGTCTGGGATTATTGCAGTGAAAGGGGAAAGGAAGCATTGGGGGGGCTTGTGATCTCTTATTCCTTTTCGATATTGTATGGCTGCTTCTTTTCTTTTTTAGGGATCTAAAGAAATCTCTGATGGAGATGGATTGCTGATACTTTGCAATGAAATCGGGGATGAATTGCTCTGTTTAAAAATGCTGCTTTGGATTCTGTTGCTGGAGATATCTCTTTGTTTTGCTGCTGGGAACGTTACCAGAGACGTTTGCAAAGAAAAGATCTGTTCTTGTAACGAGGTAGAGGGAGATCTGCACGTAGACTGTGAAAAAAAGGGATTTTCGAACCTTCAGCATTTCTCTGCTCCCACGTCTCAGTTCTACCATTTGTTTCTGCATGGGAATTCTTTAACGAGGCTTTTCCCTAATGAGTTTGCTAACTTTTACAATGCAGTCAGTTTACACATGGAGAACAATGGCTTGCATGAGATTGTTCCTGGTGCCTTTCTGGGATTGCAGCTGGTAAAACGTTTGCACATTAATAACAACAAGATCAAGGCATTCAGAAGGCATACTTTCCTAGGATTAGATGATCTGGAATATCTCCAGGCTGATTTCAACCTGTTAAGAGACATTGACCCAGGTGCTTTTAGGGACTTGAACAAGCTAGAGGTTTTAATTTTAAATGACAACCTCATTAGCACATTACCTACTAATGTGTTCCAGTATGTGCCGATTACACATTTGGATCTCCGGGGAAACAGAGTTAAAACATTACCCTATGAGGGAGTCTTGGAACAGATCCCAGGCATAGCTGAAATCCTTTTGGAAGATAATCCTTGGGACTGCAGTTGCGATCTGTTATCTCTTAAGGAGTGGCTAGAAAACATCCCAAAGAATGCATTGATCGGAAGAGTTATTTGTGAAGCTCCCACTAGGTTGCAGGGTAACGATTTAAATGAGACCACAGAGCAAGAACTGTGTCCCTCAAAAAATGCAGTAGATTCCAGTTTGGCTGCCCCTCCTGCTCAAGATGAAACCTGTGATCCTGGTCCAATCCCAACTCCTTTTAAAGTCAGTGGACAAGAGGAATCTGCCACCCAGGGTTCCTCGGTTATCGGAGGTACAAAGATCCCAGGGAACTGGCAAATTAAAACAAGACCTACAGCTGTAGTATCAGAAATAAATTCAAATTTTAAAGCCCCTCACATCTTTGCCTGCCCATCTTTCTGTAGTTGTGGTCAGCAAATCCTTGGCCCAGGATTAAAAGTTGACTGCAGCAACAAGAATGTGAAGAGTTTAGCAGACTTGGAACCCAAACCACCCAATGTACAGGAATTGTTCCTGAGGGAGAACAAGATCCACACCATAAGAAGATCACACTTTGTGGATTATGGAAATTTAACTTTGCTGGACCTGGGAAACAACAACATAGGTATGGTTGAAAACAACACATTTCAGAACTTAACGGACCTTCGCTGGTTGTACATGGATAAAAACTGTATAGATACTCTCATGCCAGATAAGTTTACTGGACTGCAGAGTCTGGAATATCTGAATCTGGAATTTAATTTTATTCAGTTGATCCTCCCCAACACATTCAATCCAATGCCAAACCTCAGGATCTTAATCCTAAACAATAATCTTCTCAAGTCACTACCTGTTGATGTTTTTGCGGGTGTCAGTCTATCAAAACTTAGTCTGCACAATAATTACTTTATGTACCTTCCAGTGGCTGGAGTATTGGATCAGCTCACTTCTATCATACAGATAGATTTACATGGCAACCAGTGGGACTGTTCCTGCAATAATGTGCCTTTCAAACAATGGGCAGAACGTCTTGGCCCAGAGGTAATTGTAAGTGATCTCAAATGTTATTTCCCAGAGGAATTTTGGGGAAAAGATTTCAGATTCCTTTCAAATGACATGATGTGTCCATTGCTATATGCAAAATTGTCCCCAACATTAAATGCACTTAACAAAAACAGCACTGGCTTGACTGAGACCAACACTCACCCTAACTCCTACCTAGACACCAGCCGAGTATCAATTTCTGTGCTTGTACCAGGACTGTTGCTGGTATTTGTTACATCCGCCTTTACGGTAGTGGGCATGCTAGTATTTATTCTAAGGAATAGGAAAAGATCTAAGAGAAGGGATGCCAACTCATCTGCGTCTGAAATCAATTCATTGCAGACAGTATGCGATTCTTCTTACTGGCACAATGGACCATATAATGCAGATGGCACCCATAGAGTTTATGATTGTGGCTCCCATTCCCTGTCAGACTGATATGTGATGTTGTCTTATAGGTGATCCTGTGAGAGAAGGAGGGGAGTAAGGTGGAATAAACATCCCTGCACCCTAAACCTTTTACTTATACAAAGGACACAAATATTGATGTGCATTGCTGTAACATTTGCTACAATTGTGCCATTTCCATCAGCTAGGAATAATTTCAAAGCTACCTTATTGTGACTACAAAAATTGACATTGAGAATGGAGCGTTCTATATCTGCCAGGTAGCCTGCTATGCTATCTGCAGCGTTTGAAGTGGAAAACTATACAATATATAACAGAAAAAATAATACATGCACCAGAAATGGATGGTGTAACCATCCTTAGTTTCATGTGAGGATATTTATAGGGGGTTGTTTTCAAGAAGGTTTAACGTCTGGAGCTGTTGGGGGGGCTAAACCATGCAGCATCTGCTGTCTGCTGTGTTGGTTCAGTTGGGTGAACGTTGCACAATGGCATGAATGTAATGTAAATAAATGACTCTAATATACCAAGTGCTGCATGGCTCGCATGGATACAACGTACCCCTGGGGGGCGCTCAATTGAACTGGAGATCACGCCTGGGCATACAATCTCTCTGGGCCCCCAAAAGTCTCATCTTCTCCAACTATCTCTATACAGTATCGGTATACAAAAAAAAAGTGCCATTGCTCTATCTTTTGTAATGGATATACAAAGTGCAGTTCACACTTTTACTGTGAAAAGAAAAAAAATCTATTATAATGTTTAATTTAAAACGTGTTTGCATGAATATTCACAGCAATTATTATTCTTTTTTTTTAATTTCTATTTGGTTTTGATTTTCTACACTATTTTGTGTTGATTTGAAAACATAACTACATATGCATTATTATATTTCTGAATGTAAAAAAAAAAAAAAGATTCCCAGTCGATTTTCATTTAATTATGAAATTATTATTACAGTTGTAAACATTTTTAGGTTATTCCGATGCAGTCAATCACATGAGGTTTTAGCCCTTTAAGGGCTGGGGTAAGAAGATATGGGAGGTTGTACAAAACTGTGTGCTCACTTAATTACTCTCTAAGGGTTAATTCATTATTGTGCTTGAGGTGAGAGAATAACTTAAGGAAAAAAAATAAACAGATCAATATGGAGGTGCTCAAAGGAAAAATGAAGGAAGTAACATTGAAACTAAGTAACTATATTAAAAATTTTTATAATGGCATATTTTTCAGTATTAAAGTGAAATGTTTCCAAATGCTGGTTGTGATTGTCACTTGCTGGAGTCATTTTTATCTTGGGACCTAATTGGCTTGCTTTGGGTTTGTGAATCTTTAAGCCTGTAGTGAAAGAATGCAATGTATTCCGTGTGTGCCTCTTCCAGTCGTGTTTTGGTAAATGATCAGACTGGGCAATGCAGATGCAGTATTCGAGAAGCTCGTCTGGAATTCATGTAATTGAGTCGCCGTAGAGCGGTCTCATTAAGCTGATTCTAGATTTGAATCGTCAGCACTTCAAGCCCAGATGCAGCACAAATGACTGACAGTCTTGTCTGCAGACAATTTAGCATCAGCATCTGTAGGAAATTTGAAAACTAATTAGTGGATGAAGCATTCCAATGCCTTTTTTCTTCCTTTTTGTTTTTTAACATTGCGACAGAATGTATGAATAAATCTCCTAGATTTGAAACATTTTCCTGTGGGTTTAGTCACATTGATTAAGCATTGTGTCAGCTAGGTGAATCTTCAATAAATGTCTGAATTATATATAATGTATGATTGGTATACAAACAAATTATGGGCAGCGTGTTTCAACCAATTGACATCAGACTGTGTAAAGTGTTGAAGATTCTATATTCATTTAAAATTAAGGCTTTTGAGTATGCTACTCAGTAATAATGTATACTAAGCTATGTTTTGCTGCCTTAATATATTCTGCAAAGATAAACTGTGAATTCTGAGAAGAGCAATGGCCAAAATATATGAAAACACTGAGAGTAATTTAAAAATCTTTATTGAATCAGTCATGATATACAGTTTTTGCATTTGTCCAGGTGATGGTTTAAGGCAGAGGCTACTGATAAATTGTGCTTGTGACTTTGCTATAACTTATATACAGCAATATTTTACACCATTTAAAATGTCTTTCATTGAATAACAGTGTTTATCAATTTATCATTGTTCTGTGTACTATGCAAATTCATTTTCATGTAGAATGTACTGTAGAATGTACTGAATGGGTCACAAATAGGTAGGAGGTTATGCATATATGCAAAAGGAAATGTACTGTACAGCACATTTGAAAGGGTTAGGGTGAATCTTTTTTAAAAGGTATGACTGAGTTGTGCAGATATATCATTCTGAAATCTGTAAATAAAATAAAATGAAAGGGTACAGTCATCATGTGTTTCAAGCAGATTACAGCTTGCTACTTTTGCAGATCAAGAATTATTATTTTTTTCCTTTATTTGCACTTGATTTTAGCATGCACTTGCAAAATTACATAGAAAAGGTGTAAAAACTGCAATTTTACAGAATTGGATTTGTTTTCCAATTCTGCTAATATATCTAAAAAATTAAACGTGTTACTATATATTCACACTTTTGGCCCTTAATGTTAAATAAATGGTAATTGCAATATATATTGTAATGACCTATTTAAATCATATTTTTAATTTAAGATATAGATATATTAATATATTTATCTTGAACAGTTATATCTATATAACTGTCTTAATTATTCGGTGGAAATAAACACTTTTTTTTTTTAAACCAAAATAGGAACACCATCACAACACCTTTGTATGCCAAAACTAGACAGATATTATTAAATCTTGAAAAATGATAGATCATAGTTTTGTCAGACCATATTACTTATTGCCTGTTGCCATGTGACTCAAGCACAGGGCAGACATAGGGTGTATATGTTGCCATAGCAACAGAGAAAAAAGCTTCTAATGCAAAGTCTCCAACTTTAAAAACATAAATAAATAAAAATCCCATATATATATAAGAATACTATAATACTTTAATACTTTAAGAATACAAAAATCAATGAAAAACAACTATATATATATATATATATATATATATAGTTGTTTTTCATTGATTTTTGTATTCTTAAAGTTGGAGACACATTAACTTAACAGAGCATTGTGTTAGGGAAATATATATGAAGAAGTTTATGAGTAAATTTATAAGGGGTTGTTTTCGAGAAGGAATATATAAATACATATATATATATATATTTATATATATATATATATAGTGCTACCAATATATTTATTGTATTGAGTGCTAAACAGCACTTCTTAGTTTTTCTAAAATCGATGAGGAGGAACTCTGCTCAGTGATGCTCTATTCAGGTTACAAAAATGCCAAACATCTGCTGTTACTGATGGTGTGCAAGTAAACCGTTACATGGATCCTGCAGTTTGTGTCTTTAGTGGTCCTTGCTGTATTATATCCTGGAATTATAGTAAACAATATAGTGAATTTAAAATGCATTTTCCCAGGATGTATTTGCATATATTACATTTTGCCAATGTCAGCTATGAGCAAACAAGCACTATCAAAATATATCAGTTTCTACAGAAAATTGGTTGCTGGTAGTACTTTATTGCCAAAGTGCAAAGAGTTCATATCATTATGTGAATAAAAATGAGCCGTGATCTCCATGACCCAGTTAAACTTAGACAATGTCAGTTTCTAATCCACACTCTATGTGTTATGAATAAAATCAAATAATAGGCCCTTTTGTTCTTCCTAAAAATCTTATGAGAATCATCCAAATGTCCTCTTTATTTAATAACCCTACGGGAAGTAGAGTAATGATTAACAGTGATGCTCCTTCTCAAAAGACTCTTCTAGTGAACAGAAGGGATCTCTCTTCTCCCACGTCTTACCTCAGTCATCATTCTGCAGGTAAGGGACAATAGTGAGACTGGGTTAACTTGAATGGGTCTTGCTTCATCAACCATTATCTGAGCTATGGTTAATGACTAATTACTATGTTTGAAAGAAGGTGCCTTGGTTTTCCGTTAAGACATGGGATTTACATGAAATTAATTGCCCATTTCTGCTAACCACAAAGCCTAATGGATGTGAGTACATCAAATAAAAAGTGGATCAGGGTGTCCACAAGTTGTAAAACAGGACATCAAATTATAGAATAGGCCATGGTGTCCAACTATATGAGGCGTATGCCAAGTACTTACAGTGTAACTCAGCTCAGCCTCACAAAAAGCTGCTAGGTTGCACAATTCTATGGCACTAAATGTAGAAATCTCTCAATACACATGTACCATGGATGCACTAAGTGTCTGTTAAAAAAACAAGAAAACAAAAACAAATATGAAATAATCAGTGTATGCCTTGTGCATGCTCCAAAAACATAGCTATAATAATGTAATAACGTTTCTTAAAATAACATTTCCGGAATGTAAATGTAAGGTATATACAGATTTATCCAACTCTGTCAAACATTTTTATCATTCTGTATCTTGAAACCATGCAAATAGATATTGTATGCATTAAATATATCTGCACTGACATATTGGTTTAAAATAAAATAAGCTCAATGTGAAAGTGGAGGGTTGTGAATATGGAATTGGAAAATAAATAAACACCATGTTATTACACAACACAGTTCCTGCTATAACAATGTTGAGGGGTAGAAAACCTTCTGCTTTTATAGAAGATCTAGCCAAGACATTTTTATTTTTTTTACTATTAGTATTTTTTTTTTTGCTTTTATAGCCCATGGAATTGGAGCATAATCAAGAAAAAATATATATATATATATATATATTACAATTTACAGTTAAATATTTAAATGTTCATTACATTCATAATTTAATGAATTGCAAAATGCAGTCTCCAAATATTTTCTGAGACCTCAAAAATTGTCTAATTTTTCATGAATTGCTTTGGAATAATTCCCAATATACTGCTAAAAGTCAGCAATGGGTTAAAATAAAAAACAAAATTATCAAAAATAAAAAGGGAACCTTTAAAGGAACACTAAAGTCGCCTAAGTTACTTTAGCTAAATAAAGCAGTTTTAGTGTATAGATCATTCCCCTGAAATTCACTGCTCAATTCACTGTCATTTAGGAGTTAAATCACTTTATTTCTGTTTATGCAGCCCTAGCCACACCTCCCCTGGCTATGATTGACAGAGCCTGCATGAAAAAAAAAAAAACTGGTTACACTTTCAAACAGATGTAATTTACCGTAAATAATTGTATCTCAATCTCTATATTGAACTTTAATCACATACAGGAGGCTCTTTCAGGGTCTAGCAAGCTATTAACATAGCAGGGGATAAGAAAATCTTAATTAAACAGAACTTGCAATAAAGAAAGCCTAAATAGGGCTCTCTTTACAGGAAGTGTTTATGGAAGGCTGTGCAAGTCACATGCAGGGAGGTGTGACTAGGGTTCATAAAGAAAGGCATTTAACTCCTAAATGGCAGAGGATTGAGCAGTGAGGCTGCAAGGGCATGTTCTATACACCAAAACTGCTTCATTAAGCTAAAATTGTTCAGGTGACTATAGTGTCCCTTTAATATTTTATTAATCAATAGAATTATTAGTCTGATGGAATAACCAGCATTGTTCCACACAACAGACAGAAATATGAGTGTTAATGAAATTAATCCAGCAACTTCTGGGTATTGGTTTTATTTTATCTCATGCTAGGTTCAATGTCAATGTCAATGCATCAATGTCAGAAGTTGTGACATCTATCCTATTCCTATATTCCTCTGACAAAGTGCACTCAATAGATTATTAGTCAAAGTAATTAGAGAGCCCATATAGGCACCCAGACCATTTCATCTCAATTATGAAGGTGCCTTGTCCCTGTAGATTTACCCCTGCAATTGTAAACATTTACATTCTGCAGGAATGGCAATGTTTACATTACAGGGTTAACATGCCTCCAGTGGCTGTCTCCCTGACAGCAACTACATGCCCTTCTGCCATAATAGCAGAGTTAAAAATGTGGCTATTCAATCAGATGGTCACATAAATACCATTTGATTGGCGCAGTGCAGCATACTGGCATGCATGCGCAGCAGCCTCCATTGTTCGTGCTCCATGACAGGTACACGTAAAAAATAAAAATAAAAGTTGAATTAATTTACCTCTACCTCCTAGCCAATGAGTTAGTAAATACAACATTACTTTAAAAATAGGCATACAATAATGCAAGCAGTGGCTCTATAGTCTTATGAAATTACCTCAACTCATCAATGTTTCACCTTTTGCGAATGCGTATATTGTATGCACTTATTAAATAAAAATATGTGAGAAACATGAAAATATTTTATGAGAATCATATTGCTCTCTTTAAAGTTGAAAAGGGAGCCTCCCTCTGGGTAGGTGTGGATGGAAAGACGAAAAGCCCTTGCAGGGTCTGCTCACAGGCGTGAATTATGCAAAGAATTGACATTAGGCAGAGTTCTGGGCTGCATAAGTCATGAGTGTTGGGGGTGCAACTTGCCCTCAGCACACAATTAAAAATATCTCTGAATGTACAGTGTTTAAAGCTGAAACACCTCACCTCCAGACTCCTACCACCATGACCACTTCAGATAACAAAAGTGGTCATGGAGTAACACTTTAAGTAAAATATATTAACTCACCTTTTTTCCAGCTCCATGACCCTGCCATTGCAGTCATCCGTCCCGCCCCCTTCTTTGTCACCAAGCAAGCTGACGTATTCCGCATACTTGCCCAAACCAATTCTTCCCATGAGAAACAATAGTGACAAAAAGCACATCCAGAGCCACACTCCTCTCTCACAGTGCTCTCTGTAAGAAGCTTCACAAGAAGTGACGTGAGATCAGAGTCTTACTTAGTTCTTATAGAGGGGGCATCCATAGTGACTGACAGAAAGGCAGTGACAAGACTTGTGTTTAGCCCTTAAATTAAAACATTGCCATATCTATTAAACAACAATGTTTTATAATAGTCACCATATATTTAGAAGAATATTACTTAAAATGTACCTATCCATGTTCTGTGTCCTGTTTTATTTAAACTTACAATCAAATCTGCTTAAATAAGTGATGACCTTTCAATGATAATTATTTTTTTTCAGTTGTTATTTTGTAAATATAAGATGTTATATAATTGTTGATTGACTACATTAATGTATTGACTACATTACAGTGCCTTCCTAAGCTGGAGAAAAGAGCACTCAAAACTCCAAGTGATCTTGAACGAAGTATCACTTGGCAAAATAATGTATAGCTTTCATAAAGTTATCTAATGTGAGATAAAGAAAGATAACATCTCCAAAGAAAACATGTTTTGTTTATTTCAGTATTATGGATATTATAACATTGCATAGTGTTTTAAAGAATTGTAGTGTCCTCGCTAGCTACTAAGTAAGCTAAAAATAGAAAATAGATGCCTTATGATTTGAATTTATTTCAAAAACATTGTTCTGCCTAGCAGTTATCTTAACATTAGATCACAGGATGACTGTACTATCATCAGTGTAGGAGGAGAAAATAAAGTGTTTTCTGAGTTCCTACAAATTTATCACACTCCAAATTTCTTTTTCTTTTTTTCCTTTCCACCCTTTTGATGCGTTGCAAATGAAAGGTTTTGTGTTCCTTCCTACTTAGTTAATAATTGCAGCTGCTGGATTTCTGGCATCCTAATATTGTATAATTCTAGTGGAGGTTTGCACTTACCTAGCTAACTTAACTGTGTGGGTAGGTATGCTTTTCTGTAGTACCCACTCACGATATGATACAATTAATGTGCCCATCTTGCTTCTGTATACCTTTTGCTTATGTACACACAGAGGGAAAAATAAAGTATAGTATACTTGTCTGTGGAAAAATAGAATTTATAGTTTAGAATCAAGTTAAAAAAACAATTATTTGAATGAAGAAAGAAATGTAATAATGACTGGCATGTATGAAAATATAAGAGAGACCTTAAAAACCAAATGTGATTCTCATATGAGTAAAAAAAAATACTTTGAAATGACAGACAGACCAATAGAAAGGAAGCCACAAAAGCAGTATGCAGGTGGATAACAGAGTCTGCAGTTAAAATACAGGCAGTAAAAATTATGAAAAGAAATATATAATATATTTTGCACTAGCTATATTTTATATATAAACAACACTGTCTTATGTTAGAGGGGGGCTTAAGGTGTGAATTTCCACCTCTACTTAAGCATCCAAATGTAAATATGTGTCGGACCCCACGCAGGGAGCACCAAATTATTATAGCCATTACTGCACATAGCAACACAAGAAAAAAAAAAACAAGTAAAAAGCTAATAAAACCACAGAAAAATAAATATTCTGAAAGTGACAAATACACACAGAATAAAAGAGGAACGTTATATAATTATTTTCACTCATATTATGTAGCATATCAAAGGCACAATATTAAATCCTATAAATTGTACAGTAGTAGATCACAATGTTATAATCAATCACATAGGTTTAAAATCACAAAGAGGAGGATTAACTTCATGTTTTATAACATATCCAGGTGATTAGCTTCATTTCAACACACTCGTACTTTTAAAGTGATAAG